GACGGGTACGCATCGACGCGCCGGAACATCGGGGAGTACATCAAGGAGAAGCCGGACCTCCTCCCAACGGGCCGCAAGACGGTCTGGCACGATCTCAAGTGGGGTTGTGGGCTGCCGGATATCATCAAGGGAGTCGAGCATTCTCTTGATTGCCTGCAGCGGAGGGGAACCTCTCGCCCAGCTATCATTGTCATTTCCTACGCCGGAAATGATATCTTTGGGAACTACGGTTTCATCCACTGCGACTGGTTGAACCAGGAAATGGCGTGTTACTCGCAGAAGCGCCGCGACGCAGCAAACAATGTCATGGAGGAGAGGGTGAACACACACTTCACCGCCCTCAATGACCTTGTGAAGCTGACAACGCGTGCCGACGTTGGGAACATCGTCCTGGTGATGCCTTGGTATGGTCGTGGCTATGGACTTCATCCTGACTTCGACCGCCGGATGATCCGTGAGGCGGAAGCACTCAGAAAGCGAGTTCTTTGCGTGCTGGACGCCGCATCATTGATCAAATGCACCACCCGCTACGATGGGCAACATATGGAAAACACCGAACACAATCGACTCCAGTCGATCCGCTTCTACTCTGAAGCCGGCGCTTTGGGATACCACCTCTTCAGGTTACGGTCATGCAAGCCTTTGATTGAGATGGCCGAAATGAAGAAGCGCCGCGAGGAAGCGCTGGCCAACCCACAGCCCGAGAACAATCCGCAATGGGAAGAGATGGAAGAAGTGCTTGTCTCCGTCGACGTGGATGGATGGGAAATCTTCGTCAAGGAGACCAGGCCAAAAGGGCAACGACTTCCGAACGAGGTCGATCCTGAACGTGCTCAACTTCACTACACTCCACTGGTGAAAGACGATGCAGCTGCGGCGGCCTCGAATCTGGAGCTTTTGGAATCTGTGGATGCAGCACTGCCAGGGGAACCCGAACACTTTGAACCTCACGAGGTCAAGGAGCCGGAGATGGATGGCGAGATCATTGACGCTATCCTCAAACCCTTTTTGGATCAGTTGCCAGGTGTTTCGGATGAGCGAGACATTGACGAGCCCGATGCGGACGAAGAGATTATCTTCAAGGCCCCTATCGTCGACGGCTCGGCATCCTTGCTCAGCCAACGGAAGCGCCAAAATTCACGCTGTGGATTTCAAGTTGGATGGTTCGGGCGTGGTGAACATCTTGGACACCGACGTCACCAGAGATCCTGCGAAGCTTGAACTTCGGCAGGAGTCCACGCAGCAGACTGGGGAAGGTGCGGTCATCATCCGTCGGTTCGACTTGACAGATGAAGAGAAGCACCGACAGATGGAAAGGGAAATCTTCGAGGAGCCGAAGTCCGCTGAGGAAAAACTTCGCGCGGGTGACCCCGTTGCCTCTCTGGAAATTGTGTCGGCAGCCAAATCGAAGGCGGCATCCAAATCGGAAGCGGCATCTTCGAGCGGCATCGCGCAGGTGATCGGAGAGACAGTCGGCCAGTTCATCAAGCCGAAGACGAAAGACCAAGCCACTATGGTCTCATACAAGCGAGCTCCTCAGCTCCCCAAGGTTTCAACGGCGGCGGGAACGTCTCCCTTGGCGTCCCCAAAGCCAAGTCCGCCACCCACTCCGAAGAGTGCAATGGGGTCTCCCAAGCCGGATCCTCCATCGCTCCCAGCGGAAGCTGCGGACCAACCTATGACCAAAGCTGGATTGCCTTTCAAGGCACCACCACGATTGTCAACAACAACCTCACCGAGGGCGCCTCCACAGAAGTCATCGGCATCAACTGCGTTGCCATCGATGGAGCCTGCCCCCAAGATTGCCAAGAAGGAGCCGCCAATTGCAAGTGCTCCTCCCCCGGGAACGGGTGGACCTCAGCCTCCGGCTGAACCGCCTTTGCGACCATCTGGATACTCCAAATGGTACTTTTTCTCCCCGGGAACGGGCGAGCGCAGGGAGTTCACCATCAGGTGCACCTGGTTTGTCGCGTGGTTACGACCACAAGTTTTTGTAGCCACATCACCGTCACATCCCGCCGGAGTTCGACGACCAGCTCTACCTCAACTTCGAGAGCATGTACAGCTACTTGAAGAAGAGATTCAGAGCCGAGTTGTCCAAGCAGGATTCGTATTTGATCCTGAGGACACAAGATCGGTTCATGTGTCGAATCGAGGCGGGCGTTGTCGGGGAACTGACAACCTTGGACATGCGGTATCGCATCACTCATGTGAAGGCTTGCCAAGGGCATGACCAATCCCTCATCGAGAAGGTGGGAACAGCTCCATTGGTCAAGCAGATCATCTCGCTTGACTAGCAGTTCACGGTGGAAGATCTCAAGAGAGGACTCTACCCTAGGGTCCCGATTTATCCACACCTGGCGGAAGCTGAGGTCGCAGAAGAGTTTCGCATCATCTACCACTACACGTCGTGGAGCGCTCTTCAGCAGATTATTTGCGCTGGTATTTTTCCAGGGGCTTCATCATGCACGGGTCATGTTTACATGACCAGACATGCGCCTTGGGAAATCGAAGGCAAGGATCCTGGTGTCAGGACGAATCGCCCTTTGTGCATGGCAATCGACAAATCGACACAGATTGCGCCTTGCATCGCGGCATTCGCCTGGTGGAAACCTTGGCCGGAGCACTCATGTGCGAAGACTGGGTCCCAAACCATTGCATCATCTACGCATTTGATTGCGAGAAGTCGCAATACCTTTGGGCCAATCATGGCTACAACGGGGTCAAGAAGTACCTTCGACAGAAGGCCTCCGAGAACGCTCTCATTTGGGAGGAAAACGAAGCTCGGAAGGGCACTCCTGCTTATGAGGAACTTGAACGCTACGAGTGTTCGGACCTTGAATGAAGCCTTGAAGATGCTCTTCGTCAACGAGTACTCCCAATAGAAGGACGTGGTCACGTTGCGGCGACCTCTCATCTACAAAGAGGTCCCAACGCCGTACGAGGTGGTTGACGAACTGCTTCCCAAACACAAGCAGCGCCCGCTGGATTTCAGCAACCTGCTGTGCGTGGCGAGGAAACCAAGGGTGACGGCAGCGGGCTTTGAGATTGCACCTGACAACGCGCGGGAACGCTGTTCTGATCGATTTGATCGGGATGCCTTTGATCCTGCCGCGGAGGGGAACCTCACACGCTGGCGGTACGTGTCCATGCTGTCTATGCCAGAACTTACATGCCCTCGGTGCAGAAAAGTTTTCCCTGAAGGAATGCTCATCTGCTTGGCCTGCGGCCTCTCTCTGGCCACTATGTCTGACATGCGCAGGGCATGCCAGGTCTTCAGGTTGGAGGAGCTTGCCGAGAAGCTTGGTTTCGAGCTCACCCTGGACATGCTGGGCGTCGATGACGTGGCGGGGGCCACTCAGGGGTCGAAGCAGATCAGATCTGCTGCCGCCGTGCTCAAAAACCACGCGCGCCCGTACATGAAACAAGCGCGAAAAGCTGGTATGTCGTTGCTACAGCGTCTGGGAACGGACGCCTACTACGCCTTCAATTGCGCGGTCCAGGACTTGACGCCAAAATGTATGCACTGGATCACAGTGCTTGGCAACGTCGTCCTACCAAGCATCCGTCGCACCAAAGAGGAAATCCGCACTGGGAAAATTCGACAGTTTAAGGCGCGTATGTGCCTCGTTGTTTACGAGGCTGGCCAAATGCAGACACTCGTGGTCGATGACCACGTGCTCTTTTGGTACAGAAATCGCTTCTATCGAGCTTAGCACACATGAGTTTGGATGTTGGTGGAATCGCGCACCCACCCGTGCAATGAAGCGTATCACCTATACCTGAATTAAATCAAAGTGGGCAACAGCTTCCGCTGTGCGACACCTCATGCCAAAAGAAACTCACTCGCCTCAGATGAAGAAGAATCCATCAGGCGAGAGCTTCCGCTCCGCGATGCCTCAGCGATAGCCAGAAGACCACTTGCGATCACGGTACTGGTGACCCTGATTGCGTCGTCGCCAATACTCCCATTCCTGGTCAGTCCACTGATTGTAATAGTCGTTCCATTCCTGCTGACTGTATCCATGAGTCGGAATTTTTGCCAACTCAATTCAAGTTCACAACATTTCCTTTAACGCTTTGAATGCATATAATTTGAAGCAGGCATTTGGCACTCATTTCATTCTTGCCATGATTCCTTGTTGCTGAGCACACGGCTGGTAGTTGCATGTACCGCAGAGCGGAAGCTCTTGCCTTGCGAAGTTAAGGCGTCTTTGAAGCTTTTCTCAATGCTTCCCTGTGGGTTCACTCAAACCGAATTCAGCTTTTGCCATAATTCAAATCGCTTTGCTTTGGCAAGCTCCTGGGCGACCACAAGAACTTTTGTTGCCGCGTGGAAACGCAGGCCTATGTAACGGGCCATGACCTTTTTCCACCTTGCATGTTCGACCACAAGCCCGGTTGAGCCGTGAATGCATTCGACCGAATTGATCTTGACAGCATCCGTTGACCAATGTACTTGATGTCAGAATCGATGGATATCTTTGTCATGTCTTGTTGCCTAGTTTTGTCACGCTGAGGTGATGACCTGAAGTACTACGGAAAGGAAGGCCGTGTTTTGGGGTTTGGTTGAAGTTGTTGTTTGTTTTCAACGGCATCCCTTACCTAGTTGTGCCTGGTCGTAATTTGCAGCTTCACCTCCCGGTGCGGTAATGACACTGCACGGGGGGTGTTGTTGTTGTTGTTGCACAGTAGTACTCTATGTATAGGTCATTTCACCCATATCACCATGTGACTATGGCTCAAGAAACATTGCGGTGTCCGCAGGGTTGTAACTAGGTTATTTAGTGGCCCATTCCGGTTAGATACCCGTTTCTACAAAAATCATGTCCCTTGATGATCCGAAACGGCGTGGTCCTACTCGTGTTGACGTGCAGCCGCGCCATTGCCCATGCAACATGTCGCACAATCCATGGAAACAAACGATGTGTGTTGCGTATGTCCACCTGGTACTGCTCAGACAAAAAACTCACCCATGTCCGAACTCTACCTGCAATTTGTTAGTTCACGGTTTCTCCTTCAGCGAGGGACTGAGAAGAGTACCTGGGACTTTGTCGCGCCTGCATTTTGTCATGTCCCATCTTCTTACGTACCGTGTTTGCAAGTTTCATGATTGCTGGTTCCTGATCTGTCTGAAAAGTGAACTGTTTCCAACCAAGGCCTAACAACCAAGTTTCCAAGGATTTCACTGCATAACTGTTGGGGTCGTCAATTTTTTTGGAAGGAATCACAACTGCGAAAGGCCAACGCGAGTCCTTGTCAATGGCGGTAAGAACTGTCACCACATCACCCCCGTCTGCCCCCTCTGGCAAGTCGCCAGGCTGAACCTCTTCGCCTTTGGAAGAAAAGTACATGAAATCTGCATGCACGATGTGTTCCGGTGTGTCCGTGTGGCGTTGCATGTGGGGAGCTTGCCTACCCTGTCCAGCAACACAGTGTGGACACCAGGACGCATACGTGGCATGATGCAAATTGTGTTCTGCTCGCTCTTGCGGGGATGGTTCCGGTGGAGATGACATAGGATGAATGATGGGTCTGTCAGCGGTTTTCTCCATGAAGTGTGCGTGCTCCATGCCATGTTGGGCATGTGGATCGGGCGCTTCGGGTTCTGCCTGCGCGCTTGCCGCATCATCTTTCAACTTGAAACATGTTTCACCTACCCAATGCCATGCCAACCGCCTGTTTGCGTTTGATTCCGTGTTCCAAAAGTCTTTAGAACGTCTTCACCGCCACCGCCAACGAATGTCATGCGTGTCAACCTGCCGTTTTCCAGCACTGAAGGATCGACAGGACAATCATTGGAATCCAAAGGGCTAAACAAATTTCGCCGGGGATTTGAACGCACTCGAACTAACAACGAACCGTCTCTTCCCCAACTGTCCTCGGAACTGGCTGCAATTCTGTTGTCTGCACCTTGGCTCCTCAATGCTTGCAAGTCACGTTTCCTGACACGCATCCACCAAAGGATACATTCTCCCATTCTTGTACTCCAGATAGCTACCGGTTTTGCCAAAGACTACCTTTTCCCAATCTTTACTCAACAGTTAGTTCATCTACAGCTAACACGTTCTCGCTAGCATCCGTCACTGTCACACGAATGGTTCCGCGCAATCCGTCATCCTGCCGGGGGTTTGTTCACCATACACCTTCAAAGCTCGTCCTTGAACTGAATACAGTGTTTTCTTTTTGGTTTCATCAATTGGCACATCAAATTCTCCCTCAGTAGCAGATGTCACACATGCACCCGAATCGACCATGAACCATGCAAAATCACTGTTTTCACAAGGTTTGATGGCTGCGATCGTGTCACGAACAGTCATGATCATGTCAGTTTCGGGTTCGGCCACATAATCCCTAACGGATCCTACTGTCATTGCGTCAGTTTCGGGTTTGGGGTTCGGTTCTGGTTCCTCCCGCGCTTCGGAAACCTTCCAATAACAATCAGCTGCAATGTGACCATATTTCTTACAAATGTGACACTGTTTGCCCGCATGAGGGTTGTTTCCTCCTTTTCCTTTGCCTTTTTCACCTTTGTTGTTCTTTCCTTTGCCGCTGCCATCCTCTGATGGTTTGCCCTTGTGTTTGCTTTTGTCGCCTTTGTAACTTCCATACTTGGAATCCCATTGTGACGACGCTTGCGCTTGCCATTGCGAGTTCAATTGGTTGCCTTTGCTTTTGTCTGGGTCACCTTTGTCTGCCTTGCCTTTACCTTTGCCTTTGGGACCTTTACCTTTACCCTTTATGGCTCCAATTTCCATAGGCGCTGGTCCATTTGTATCATCCTTCGGTTTGACGCTTGCGCTGTTTGCGAACAGTCCTCCTTGGGGTCTCTTCCACAGATTTCGCGCATTCAAATACTGTTCTATGTATGTTCGAACCTTGTTGTACGAATCCAACGAATCTGCATGCATGAAAATTGACTGTTGAAGTTCTTTCGGGGCAACATGAACCAAAACAGACAACACTTCGTCTTCGTCAATAGTCTTTTTGAATTGTCGCTCAAACTCCCGGATTTCCGATTCCCATTGGTAAAACGCATCACTCCATTTACTCAATTCAGTGGGGAAGGTTGGGTTTGTCAAGTGCTTCCGCCATACCCATGATTTGGATTTGTATTTTTCACCAATCTCCGCCACATCTCCAAACCATTCCCTTCAGGGGCATGTTGGGCCATGCTCATCACTGAGTCCGGCGCATATCCCATAAGGATCGTCAACAAAGCCTTACTCAAGCGGACCTCATTTGCTGTCAACGTGACATGTTCTATGGGCGTCGTTGAGGCTTCGGCCTTGTCAAACAAACCTGGGTAAGCCGCATTCACTGTAGAACTCCAAGCTACAAACACGTACTTCCATCTTTCCCAACTTTCACGCTTCCCATCAAACACAGGTGGTTTCGGAATGTTCCTGGAATCCACAAGGTTTGGGTCCTCAACACTGGCACTGCTTGCTTTTGTGGTTAGGGCCGCGCTCAACTCGTTGCGAGTGGCTGTCAACGCTGCGCTTTGTTGTTCGTACGCTTGTTCGGCTCTTTGTAGTGCTTGACTTAGGGTATCATGCTGTCTACTCAACTGTGCGACTTGGTTTTGCAGAGCTTGCATCGTCTCCTCCATTGTTTCCACAAACGAAACAAGGAACAAACAGAATCACACAAGAACAACCGGTGACTTGCAGTTTTTTGTACAATCGAAAAACTGACACTACGACGGACCTGTACGCTACGACGGACCTGTACACGTGAATGTCGGCACTCACGCGGTGTTACCCGCCTTGTATAGGTTTTCTCCCTCACTTCTTGCTTCTCTGGCGTCTGGTCGTGTCGTGCTGGTACCACGTTGGCGTTGCAACTTCGGAGTTGTAGCCGACAGTTGGTGGCTCAGTATCTACACGAGTTGTGACGCTGCTTGTCGAACTTTGGGTGGAGCTATACCGTGTCGTCGGTGCACGGGAAGAACTGTACCTTGTTGTTGCTGGGCGGCTTTTCTGATCACACTGTGTCACTGCACCAGGCTGGTGTCTCCTGGAACTTGTGTCGGTGTCTGGCTCAAGCCCCTCAGTCTCACTATGACTGTCACTCTCCTCCTTCCGCTGTTGACCTAGGGTTGCAGTAACTGCTCGGCGTGCTTCCTCACACAAGTAACTCTTCCTTGCGGACTCTCCTGGTGTTTTTTCCACTTCAGCTGCTACCAACGGAAGTTCTCTTTGAAACTTTGCCCACACACGACGGTACACACTGTTGTCACCTTCTTCACGGGGTGGCTCCAGAGGACGCTTCAGGCGTGCGTGAGGTGCAAGGAAAGTTGCGTAGGTAGAGTGGCCGCTTGTTGAAAACGAAGCTTCGCTTTGTGCCTGGTAGTAATGTGACGCTCTTGCCGGGTTTGGGTTGTTTCCAAAGAAAGGGACTTCTTGCTCGGCTTTGGTGTCCTCTGTTTTCAAGTTGTGCTCAAAACGTGAGCGTTCTCCTCTCTACAGCTGCTGCACTCCTGTTCCTCCTTCCTTTTTGCTGTGCTTTGCCGGCAGCTCCTTTCACGCTGCTCGACGACGTGGTTGTGGTACTTCCCGAGTACAACGCTGCGGTGTTACCCGCCTGCGGTAGCTGGTGGCCCTAGAGCACGACCAGCTCCGCTACCATGCGAAGCGGAGTCACACCTTTTTAGTTTGAACCACAGGGGCTGTGCGTATTGGGCTCTTCACTGTACAACCAAACACAAATCAGTGTTCCAACCTCGACACTTAGGATCAGAGGTATAGTGAAGGGATATTCTTTCAGATCCGGTGGTGGACTTTCAATAGCACCTGCAGAGGCACACTGGATCATGGGCTATGAAGAGGGCGCCATCGGCATTGCCAAGCGCATTGTTGAACGTCTTCAACGAGAGGGCAACAAGCTGGTGATTGACAAGCTCTACATGTTGGCTGCAGGAGCTATGAACTCTCATGTGGGCCCAAGTGGATTTAGTCCTTATCAATGTCAATGGGTTTTTGGCGCTGGTGGAGGAAGTTCTTGATGATGAACGACTTCTTCCTGGCATTGAACCTGCCAAAGCCTTTGGTGGCCTCATGAAGAACAGAGAGAAGGCCCAACTGGCCTTTGAGAGGGGGCGAGCGGGCCAACGCTTCAGCAAACTGGCCAATGCTGTGGGACGACAAGTCTCAACATACAAGCCTGGCCAACTGGTGATGGTGTGGCGACAACGGGTCAAGCCCGGCAAAATCAAAGGCAGCTGGACAGGTCCTGTACGTCTTGTACCAATGGAAGGGACTACAGCCTGGCTAGCAAGCGGTGCAACTTTGATCCGCGCCAAGCTGAACCAGATCCGGCCAACGACCAGAAAGGAAGACTTGGATGCTGTGCTGGAAGGAACCTCTATCCTGACTGGACCAGTGACGGTGGAGAAGCTCATGGACTCTTTTCAAAGACGCTTCTACCTGGACATTGCTGGAGATGTGCCAAGCGAGGCCAGACAGATGCAAAATCTATCTCCTGCACAAGTCCTACAAGAACCTCATCAACGACGACAAGACACCTGGTCACTGGAGCAAGAGGGCAGCAAACGAACCTTGATCCGACATCACAACCTTCCCAGACTGACCAGTGGATCTTGAGGAGCTCACTGGCAAGAGAACTACAATTGTTGCTTCTTTACGTGGTGATGGCAAGCAACTGACAATCAATGACACCATTGACATCCAGCGCAACCTCTTGGATCGATGGCTTGGCGAGACAAGGTTTGAACTGAAAGAGATTGGCCCTATGCCAAAACGCCAGAAGAACAAGCAAGACAAGGGCGAGAAGCGCAAAGCAGAAGCACCTCTTGAGAAGGAGGGCAGCCCAGATGCTCAAGAAGCACCTTCGATATCAACATCACAACCTTCTCAGCTTCAAGAAGCACTTCAGCAACGTGGCCCAAACACTTTGGATGGAATACCCCTGAAGGGAACATCTGGCACGAACGAATGTCCTGTGCCTGAGTGTGTTCTTCCTGGAGGACATGGTGGACATCACCGTGACGACAAGGATGAGCCTTTCATGTACGACCCCTACGAAGGACGTCGTGGAGCAACTCTTCAAGCTCTTCCGAAGAATTACTTCCTGATGATCCTGGCGGTGGACCATCTGACAATGAATCTGCAGATGATGGAGAACCTCAAGATTCCTTCATCGCTGTGGAGCCCAACATCAACGAGAAGGATCTCAAGTTTTTTGCAAAGGGCTACAAGAAGCGACGACATGGAGAAGTATGGCTTTCAAAGAAGCTGGCAGAGAAGGGAGGCGAAGTGACATGGTCTCACTTGACCTTGGACCAGAAGAAGGAGTACAAGAAACTCGGCCCAAAGACTGTCATGGGCATGCGATGGGTTCTGACCAGAAAGGCGGACCAGACAGCAAAAGCCCGACTTGTGGTCTTAGGATTCCAAGCCCACAACCTCTGCGAGGTGGAGACTTCTTCACCGACTATGAGCAAGCTTGGAAGAAATTGTGTGCTGGCGATTGCCGCTGCTATGGGCTTCATTGTCAAGTCCGGAGATGTGACAAGTGCGTTCTTGCAAACAGGCATTAGCCTGGAGGACGAGAACCTCCACGTACTTGCCCCACCTGAACTTTCTGCAATCTTTGGAGCACAACATGGTGAACAGTTGGTGCTGAAGGTGAGAGAAGCTTTCTATGGATGTGCACACGCGCCCAGAAAGTGGTTCGAGAAATGTGTCAACACCATGTCCAAACTCAACTGGAAGCAGCTGAAAGGAGATCGATATATCTTCGCTCTCTATGAGACTGACAAGGACGGCCACCAGATCCTGGTTGGCATTGCAGGTATCCATGTGGACGACTACCTCATTGCTGGCAGTCCTACACCAAAGCTGTTCCAGGACATGGAGAAGGAGCTCTACAACACCTTCCGGTGGGGTAAATGGGAAGACAGTGCATTTGGGTTTGCAGGGTGCCTGGTGAAGCAGCTACCTGACGGCAGCATCATGCTCGCGCAGGAAGACTACGTCCTGAAGTGGATCGAAGAGATTCCCATTGACAAGACCAAGTCCAAGAAGGCCCTGCTGGACACTTCTGAAATTGCACAACTTCGTGGAGCACTTGGTACAAGCAGTTGGCGTGCAACCCAAACTGGACCCCAGTTTTTGGCCGAGACAAGCCTTTTGCTCTCCGAGATCAATGTGGCAACCATTGACACTCTCTACAGAGTCAACCGGCTCATGCGAGAAGCTTCGCAAGGATTACTCTTTCCTTGCTGGCGCAAAAGCATCAAAGACCTTGCTGTAATAATCTATGCGGACGCGTCACAACACAACAGACTTGACCGGTCTAGCACCATTGGTATCATCACCTTGCTTGGACCTCGAGAAGTTCTACAAGGAGAAGAATGCCAATTGGCGGTGCTGCAGTGGAAAAGTGGCAAGACACCCCGACAGTGTCTAGGCTCCAACGGTGCCGAAGTTCAATCTATCACGATTGGGAAGGGCCAGAACTACCAGATCAGAATGCTCCTGGCCGAGATCTCTGGCGAGGACATCAACCGCAGTAGCCTCTATGATGTGGTGAAGCGCATCCCTGGTGCTTTGGTGATGGATTCGAGAGGCATCTATGACGCCATGACGCGCAACATGTCTGCACTCCATGGACTTCGAGAAAGTCGAGGAGGATATGAACTGGTGCTGGCAGTGAACTCTGCACGACGTGCCGAGACTATGCTGAGATGGGTGAACGGTATGTCGCAACTTGGCGACGGACTCACCAAGAACAATGCCCGCAAGATGCTACTCCAATTCTTCAGCCAGAAACAGTACTGGCGACTGGTGGATGATCCGAAATTTGAAGCTGGACGAAAGGTCCACAAGCGCGAGCTGGAGAAGAAGATCAATGAGATGCAAGCGCTGGTTGTACAGAAGGTCAAAGAATTGGCCGCCAAAGAGAACTTACCATGGGACGAAGGCCCTGTGGTAACCTATCACCACCTGACATGAGTGTAAAGGTCAGGATGGTTATGGGATGCAAGCATGGGGTCATAACACATGATCATTCATGACCTTTACACCCCGAAGGGACGGGGCTCGAGCACGCGGAGCCAAAACAGCTGTGGCTACAATAGCCTGTGCGCCGTTGTGGGTGCGCCCGGTGGGGACCCAACGGTGGGGTCATCGTGCACTTTGTCTCCGCTTGTCTCCTGTTGTTTCCCATTGTGGCACATGTGTGCCTGTGTTGGAAGGTGTGTTCGCCTTCCCGAGGCCATTGTCTCCCTGCCTCTGTTTTGGATGGTGTGTCTGCCTTCGCAAGTTCTTGTCTTCGCTTGTTTCCCATTGTTTCCCAATGCCCTCCATTGCTCTCATTGTCTCCCATTGTCTCCCATTGTCTCCCATTGTCTCCCTTCGTCCCCCATTGTCTCCCATTGTCTCCCCACATGCGTGCCTGTGTTGGATGGTGTGTTCGCCTTCACGAGTTGTGCCTGTGTTGGATGGTGTGTCCGCATTCCCGAGCTCTTGTCTCCCCCTGTCTCCCAGCTTGTCTCCCAGCTTGTCACCCAGCTTGTCTCCCAGCTTGTCTCCCAGCTTGTCTCCCAGCTTGTCTCCCAGCTTGTCTCCCATTGTCTCCCCACATGTG